GGCCCAGCCGCTACTTCCCGGCGGGGGTGAGCATCCTTTGGCCACCCCGGCAGCATGGCCTCCTGTCCCAGTGGCCCAGGGATGGCTCCGGGTACTGTGACCCAGGGTTGCTCCTGGGGCAGCCCCTAACCCTGGCCAGCCAGGCCAAGCCCTCTCCATTTGCAGGTGCGGAAGCTGGTGAGCGACTTTGCCATCATCCTGGCCATCCTCGCCTCCTGCACCGTTGATGCCGCCCTGGGCCTGGAGACCCCCAAGCTCCTCGTCCCCAACGAGCTGAAGGTGCTGGTGGGGTGGGCATGGTACTGTCAGGGAGTGGGTCTGTGGCCCCCACAGTAGCCATCCTGCCATGCTGCTGCTGTCCTTCCCACTCCTGGGTCCATCCCTATAGGGATGTGGGCCGTGCCCCTGCAAACAAGAAGGGGTTGAACCACAGCCAATCCCATGCTCTGTAAATAGCCTGGCTCGGTCCTGGACTAACCATGTCACGGTACAGCTCACACTGGAGCAAGAGCCACAAGCTCAAGTCTGGACTTGGGCTCCCCGCCCTGGGTGTGGAGCGGGACCGGCTGTGCTCGCCACCACCTCCTTGGGCTTTCCATCATCAACACCCAATACCACCTCTTCCACCCGCTCCCAGGGGCACGTGCCCGACTCCTGGCTTGCAGGGCCCAGGAGCAACCCTCTGCTCCACCACAGCCAGTGTGTCGTCATGAGGGGCTGATGGGTCACGCTGCCCAGGAATGTCCTCAGGATGAGAGAGGATGCTCTTCCTCTCCCCAGTCTGGGCACCTGGGGCTGGTCCCATCACCCAGCTGCACCACAGACACTCCAGACAGGCGGCGGCTGCCGTGACCCTTTCTGATCTCTGCAGCCCCCGAACCCAGCACGGGGGCGCCTGCCGTGACCCTTTCTGATCTCTGCAGCCCACGAACCCAGCACGGGGATGGATCGTCTTCCCCTTTGGAGCCAACCCATGGTGGGTCTGCCTGGTGTCCGTGGTGCCTGCCATCCTCGTCACTATCCTCATTTTCATGGACCAGCAGATCACAGCTGTCATCCTTAACCGCAGGGAGTACAAGCTGCAGGTGAGCGGGAGACAGGGGATGGGCAGGACCCAGCCAACGGGGAGGACCCAGGTCCTGGCTGCACCCCATGGACCAGGGGGGCAGCCAGGGGAGAGCAGCACCCTGAACTGGCCAGCAAGGTGGGCGGACCCCACTGCTGCCCCCCTGATGCTCCAGGGACACGGCTCGCCCCCAGGTCCACTGCCTCTCCTGTTGCAGAAAGGAGCAGGCTTTCACCTGGACCTCCTCTGTGTCTCCCTCCTGATGGTTGTCACCTCCATCACCGGCCTCCCCTGGTATGTCTCAGCCACTGTCATCTCCCTAGCACACATGGAGAGCCTGAGGAAGGAGAGTGAAACCTCAGTCCCTGGCGAGCACCCTGAGTTTCTGGGCATCAGGTACACAATGAGTCCTGACTCCGCTCTGGGGGACACCCTGCCCACGGCTGCTGAGCCCATGCTGGCCGGCAGACCTGGCTTTGGGGCTGCTTTTATCTCCCTGGGGATGCCACTGGTCCTCATGGCCATCAAAGCTGAAAAGAGCAGAGACCTTGGGGGACAGGAGGGCAGGTGGGGGCTGCGAGCTCCCAAGGGATCTCAGGGCACCCGTGACACCTGCGCTGCCACCCGCAGGGAGCAGAGGCTGACCGGCCTGGCTGTCTTCATCCTGACAGGGGTCTCTGTCTTCATGGCACCCGTTCTCAGGGTAAGGAGCCTGGTTGCTGGGTTTGGCCTCTTTTCTAAGGTGGGGGGTTGACCATATCCTGCAAAGCTGGGGGTTTCCTAACCCTGCCGTCCCTCATCCCATTGATCCATCATGGGAAGCTTGGCTGGCAGGTAGGGAGCTGTGCCCTGCATGAGAAGGGGCTGGGCAACGGGTTTGGCTTGAGCACCACAGGATGGCTGGCACACCAGCGCACTGCTCCTTGCATCAGCTAGCCAGCCTCCCTGTGGGCATCGGGCTCTGTGGTCCCCAAACACACCCCACCACTACCCTCCACACCTCCATATGGGAGGCTGAGCCTGGCTGGTGTTGGCTCTCACCTGCCGCTGCTGCCACATTAGGCAGAGCCCCCACAGCATATCTTGGCCACACCTGGATTGTGTGTGGGCCGGCAGGAGGTCCCTTTTCCTCCACCTCTGTACTCACCCCTGAGGATGGCCTTGTAAGGCCTTTGATACGGTCCCTCAAAACATTCTTACCTCCAAACTGGAAAGGTATGGGATTGATGGATGGACTGTTAGATAGATCAGGAATTGGCATCCAAAGAGTTACAGTCAGCGGCTCGCTCGATATCCAAGTGGAAAGCAGTAATGAGTGGTGTCTCTCAAGGGACTCTACTGGGATCAGTACTACTTAGTATCTTCATCAAGGACATAGCCAGTGGCATCAAGTGCACCCTCAGCACATTTGCAGATGACACTAAGCTGAGTGGTATGGTTCACACACCTGAGGGAAGGTATTCCACCCAGAGGGACCTTGGAGGACATGGGCCTGTGTGAACCTCATGAGGTTCAACAAGGCCAAGTGCAAAGTCCTGCAGCTGGGTGGGTGCAACCCCCAGTATCAATACAGCATGGAGGATGAATGGATTGAGAGCAACCCTCCCGAGAAGGACTGGGGGGTAAGGGTGGGTGACAGATGGGGCATGAGCCGGCCATGTGCACTCACAGCCCAGAAAGCCAAGCGTCTCCTGGGCTGCATCACCAGCAGCGCGGCCAGCAGGGCGAGGAGGGAATGCTCCCTCCCTGCTCCACTCTGGTGAGATCCCCTGGGGCACTGCATCCAGCTCTGGGGTCCCTGGCACAAGACAGA